GCTAAATTAATGCGGCCTTCCAACATGAAAAGGTTCCTCACCCCTGCACTAAGTCAAGGTTGAGGCTCTCTGCCACAACCAGGTGAGGGACATCAGCTGAGTTCTAGAAACTTGGGCATTCCCCTCTCTGTATCACCAATAGGAGTGAGGGGTGGGCCTGGCAGAGACTCACCGCCACCCTGGCTGTGTGACAAGACCCAGACTCTAATGAGCTCATGAGGCTGACTGGGGGCAAAGGCCATCCTTCGTCCTGGCGACAAAGTGTTTATAACTGTGAGATAGCCAGGATGAGGGTGCTAAGTTTGGGGCAGAATGAGGAGGCTTCAAACTGGTGCGCCTCAGTGTGGGGTACTTTCTGGCTCGGCTTCAATCGAGCAGCAACAACGATGATGACAACCTCGTGTGTGTGTGTGTGTGTAAAATTTTCACCCTAAAGTGCTGTCCTGTGCACCGTCTGATTGGATAAAGAGACCCACCTTCCCAGACTTGCATTGGAATGGACCCAAATCTCCAGGACCCTTCTAAATCAGAGTGATATAGAACACAAACTACCATCACTTCTCTAGATTAGATTCAATGCTACCTGGGACTCATTAGATTCAACATCCTACTGTGTGTCTGGTATGTGCTACTTTATATATTAATTGAGAATTATTTAATCCTTTCAGCAACCCTTCGAAGAAAATATTCTTATCCCCATTTTATAGAGGAAGAAATGGAGATTCAGAGATGCTAATAATTTGCCCCAGGTAACAGAGCAAGTGGGCTGTGAAGCAGGTTTCAAATCCAGGTTTGTTTTACTCTAAAACCCATACTCGAGGTGGTTTCTGGGCCACTTCCTGCTAAGTGACAGTGTTAGATAAGGTGCGGAGGATGCCCGTGTACTCTCTATATACACACAGGGAGGCAGGCATTTTTTTCCCTTTCATATGTGTTTTTTTTTCCATGGAGAGAATCCTTTTTCTGATAGTCACTTTATTTCCAAAGCTTAGAACACCATATGCTCCGTAGAAGAGTGTAAATCTTTCAAACAGAGAAAGAAAAGTTTTTGGCTGCCCCACCTCTTTGCAGTTGAAATATCATTGAAACATCTGCTTTCCATTTTATTTGTTTTGTCTTTTGCAAAACGTCAAGGGTGATTTTGAAATAAATAAAAGGCAAAATATTTTGCTGAATCAAAAGAACCCAGTACCTGGCCATCTGAAAATATTTGTTTATGTAAACATTACTGGAGTGATAGAAAATTTCTATAAAAACTCACGATTAAGGTGCAGCTAGTGCAGACCAAAAGTTCAGAGATTAAGTCTTAAATATTATGTTAGAGTAATTCCTTCTGATGAATTCTGAACTGGTTTTGAAAATGAAGAACTTGTTGGAAAGGCAATTAACAAGATCATAACAAAGCTCCCATAGGAGATTAATAGAATCTGGAGTTTATTCTGATCTCTGCCCACATGGGGAAGAAACAGCCAAAAAAGGGGAAAAACATGTCTCTGTAGACAAATTAAACTTTGGTGGGTGTTCATGTGCACAGGGGCACAGCAGCTCCTTTGTATAATACATTGTGATTTGGTTCAGAGCCTTTTTCCATAAATCCAGCAGCATTAAACAACATATTCCATTATCTGAAATTTTATTATATATTTCCTTGTTTGCTTACTTTTCTTAATGGCTCTGTATGTGGTGGGGGGGTGGGTAAAATTTACATATAATGAAATGCACATCTTAGGTATACATTCAGTGAGTTCCCAGAAATGTAAGTATCTGTATCTCAAACCCTTACCTAGTTATAAAGAATTGCCATCACCCCAGAAGCAACTGCTGTTCTGATTTTAGTAGATTAGTTTTCCCTATTTGGGTACTTCATACAAATGGAATGAGACGTATGCAGTTTTTCCTGCAAGGCTTCTTTAACTCAGCATAATGTTTTCCATTCGCTATTATCCATGTTGATTGTATCAATAGTCTGTATCTTTTGATTGCTGCACAGTATTCCATTCTATGAGTATTCTGTACTTCGGGTTGGGTTTGTTCTTGTTTTTGTTTGTTTGGTATCTATTTTCCTTTTGATGGACATTTGGCTATTTCCAGTTTTTGGCCAAATAAGGTTGCTAAGAACATTCTTGTGCCAGTCATTTTGTGGATACATGCTTTTGTTTCTCTTGAGTAAATACCTATGAATGGAATTGCTAAGTGGTAGGGGAGGTAAATGTTTAGTTTTGGAAGAAACTGTCAGGTTGTTTCCCAGGTTGATTCCTCCCAGGTTGATTCCCAGGTTGTACCTCCACCATCAACATATGAAAGCACATCCTTGCTGCCATTAGATATTATAAGTAGCATCTCATTTTGGTTTTAATTTGCATTTCTCTAATGATTAATGACATTGAACACTTCATGGTTCTTTACCGAACATGTGTATATCTTCCTTTGTGAAGTGACAGTTTAAATCTTTTGCCCATTTTTAAGAATTGGGTTGTCTTTTTATTATTGAGTTGCAGACATTTGTTATATACCTTCATGTAGTATCCAAATCTATATCTATATCTATATTTATATATACATGAGACCCTTTCCTTTGCCCAGGGAGTGGGGCCCCAGTTACTTGATCTCCTTGTCTTTCCCCCCAGAATGATGTCAGGGATTCTATTTTGTTTAATGCTATATTCCCAGTGCCCAGGCTTGCTCCTGTCACAGAGTAGGAGCTCAATAAACATTTACTGAAAGAATCAATGAACAAACAGATGAATGGACTCTTGGGCCTGATATTCAGACACAATGGTTTTGAACTTAATGGCATTAATTAGCAAGCAAATTGGGAAAAAGGAAATTTAAATGTTATCCTTGAGCTATAAAGTTCATGTGCCACAAAGGACACAGGATACCTCCAAGGATTCGTTCATCCAGGGAAATGCTGCTAGAATATCACATGGAGTAGCCTAATGTGTCCCCATTTATGAACCCACTAGTGTAGCCATCACTGCTGTCTAACATGCCACTTTCTGGAACTATGTCCCGACCACTTCTAAGTCTTGTGTTCTGACCAGGTTTGCTTGATGAGTGATCAGAACATCCAATTTTGGAGGATTTTAGGTAACTTAACCCAGCTGATCCCACTGTGCCTTCAATGACCTTCCTCTTGGCACCCTCTGACACTGGTAATACCTGTTCCTTGCCAACAGGCCTTTTGCAGGGCCCTGCCTTACTGGCAGGCCTCTCCACAGGTGTGCTCTGCCTTCCTTATCTCCCCCTACGGTTGGAAGCCGGTTCCCAGGTGCTAATCCTGCAGCCTCTCAGGTTGGGTTGGGGTGGGTCTACAGTGAATAATAATCGTCCGCATCCGTGTTTGTAGACAGCTTTGCCATTGACAGAGCATGTTCATCTCCATGATCTCATATACACCTCCAAACAGTCCTACTTGTAGCCCTCTTTGTTTTTTTTTCCCCCAAAAGAGGCAGCAAAAAAGAGTTGATTTGATTTGCTCCAGAATATAAACGTGTAGCCCAGAGTTTTCTAAGATCCCCTAGGTCTTGCTCAAAAAATATTGGTGCTTTCTTAGCTCTGGTGGATGTACAAGTGTGGTGCTTAAAAGGCTCATAGATTTTTACGGTTCAGAACGCTGTATTATGTCTGTCATTAGATACTCAATTACCACACCGCAGACACATATGAGTAGTTCCCAGCCTTTTTTATTTAACTGTTATTGTGGGGTTTTCCCCCTTGGATCACGTTATTAAAAAAACAAAAAAGTCCACCTCAGACCGTATTTATTGGCTCATTTTACTTTTTTTTATTCATCAGACATATACCTCCCAGTCAGAGTTTTAGAATCAGGGATCAGATAGTCTGTTACTAGGCTGATTTTATAACAGCCAAAAGAAAGATATTTGATATTTGAATTAGCCTCCAGTTCTAATACCTGGTACATTTCCATTTTTGCTGGGCTTTTTGAAAGATTTAAAGTTCATACATTGATCCTTGGAAAAATTAAACTAAAGTTTAGTTCTTGTGAAGAAGTAGCCCTGTGTGCTCAGTGACTGAACTCTTGCCTTGTCGCTGATGTCTGGGTGGGAGTGACAGGGCTGTGACTGATTTTAATTCTTTGCACTGTGATCTGGGCTTCTCCTGGCTCTGTAGGGACTGGGCTTCACCAGTTCTACCCTGGTGCTTCCTCAGCTGTTGGAATGTTTGGGTTGTTCTCAGTTCAAGCCCATAGGACTTGGGGAGAACATGCATTTATAGAAACAAAGACATTCCCCTAACCATTACCCAACGTGCACATTTTAAAATGTCATGGCACCAGAACTATTATGTAGTATCAAAAATTTCTGATTTGACTTATATTCTCAAAGGAGCATGATGGGTTTTCTAAAGGCAGTGTTTGTTTCCAAATTAGTAGAATTAATAAATGTTACACTGTTTGCCAATTACAGAAGAGGAGATATAGTTGGGGAAGACTATTGATGTAATCTGTTATTGCCTTATAATTTTTTCTGTGTGTGTGGAGACAGGGTCTCACTATGTTGCTCAGGCTGGCCTTGAACTCCTGGCTTCAAGGGATCTTCCTACCTTGGCCTCCCAAAGTACTAGGATTATAGGCATGAGCCACCATGCCCAACACTTGCATCATAATTTTATTAGTTATTTTGCAGATTGTGTTGCATGAACTGATGAAATATTATGCACTAATTTTAAAATAATTATTTTGTGCAAACAAAAATTCATATGAATAGCATCAAGTGAATGGAACAGAATGAATAAAGTAGGTACATATACTTACGGCTATGAAAAATACATACATGTAGCTAATGGCTCAGTGTAATCTGCAGAAATGAAAAAAATTGTATGAGGTTGGATAAGGGTGAGTCTTTTCCAAAAATCTTTTATATAAGTTGTTACATATATCAGCTTTGCAATTAAAATGTTAAAATGGATTTATGTTGTCCCAGCGAAGAATGTGTGTTTTATTAATCAAATGTTGTGCTTGGTCTTGTGTTTTGTAGGATAACCAGCAGAAATCCACCAATGTAGTCTATCAGGCCCACCACGTGAGCAGGAATAAGAGAGGACAGGTGGTTGGAACAAGAGGCGGGTTCCGAGGATGTACTGTGTGGCTGACAGGTATGCTACAGATGGAAAATTGACATGCGACAGCACAATTTTATGAAAATTAGTGTAAAATGTTACGTACATTACATGTTTGTTTTAACATTAGAAGGAGACTGGGAGCTATGGTGGAAAGCCTGGGTGTTAGTCCTAATTCTACCCTCAGTGAGAAGTAGAGTCAAAGTCTGCTCTAGAAATAGTCCGATCCAGTCAAGCAAAGTCTCTAATTTGTCAGTTTTCTCCTCTTTGGCAGGAAAGAATGGGACACGTTGATTATGACATCCCTTTTCAGGGCTAAAGAATTCAATAATTCTCAAGTTCATCCCTTAACACATTTAATAGTAGTTTTGAACGGGGCTTTCCTAATTTGACATCAAGCATTTGGCTGTCCATAAAGTTTTGGGTGTTTAGGGATATTTGTATTGTTTTCTGATGTTTTGACATACTGGGGACTATTTCATTTACTGTAAACAAACAAACATAAGAATCTATGCAAGAAGGAAAACTAGTTATTTCCATTGGGCTGAGGATTGCCCCTGTATGCAGAAATAACTTGCTCACACTAAGGGGACCAAACGAATCTCCCTTTTATTGTGTTTTTATAGCCACAGAATGTCAAAGCTAAGGGCTAGTGACAGAACTGGAATTAGAACCTAAGACTCCCTCAGCCAGTCTTGCCTGTGCTGTCATCCTGCACTCTGAGTAAAAGATAGAGGAATTTGTTTCGGGTGTAGGACTCTGACACAGCCTGCACTCGAAAGGAAAAACCAAGTTTATTTCGTGGACACGACTTTTCAAGTGGATATGAATGCAGATGCAAAAATATATTTATCCACGTTATGAAATCAGTTGATGTGTTACTATCTGTTCACAAATGATGATGTATTCTAACCTGAAGATAATTCTAAAAACTATGGCTGGTAGAGACCTGCCTGGCATCCTTTTTGGCTATTCCAAATCTTTTCCCTTTTCTGTCCAAATCACCTTCATTCTTCTTGTCTTCAAATTTTTTTCTAATGCCTTTGGTTTCCTGATTTCATTCATTCCTGGACTCTGCGTCAAAATACCCTTCTCCAGCCTCCAGCACAAAGATAGACAGTGGGCAAGGAACCCGCTATGTTCAAATATGCAGCATCCGCCTATCGTTATTTCTGCAATGTTTACCTCAACTTCCCCCAAGACACATAATTTGTAGCAGTAGGTACAGCTGTATTCCAGAAGTTTCCCTCCAATTAAATGTTTGGCTTCATGAGTTGTTTACCAGTGAAAACAATTTTTTGCCTTGGGACATACACACAAAGTTCATATTCTCTAATGTGGCACTCCCTTAAAAAGAAAAAGAGAACTGGTAGCAGAGAAAAATATCTAAAGGGTATACTTCCTCTGTCTTTTTTTTACTCTTAAAAAATCATCTTTTCCTAATTTATTTTTTTATTCTTATGTACAAAGAGAGGATATTGATACCAGGCAGACCAGAAAAAACCAAGTGTTTCAAATCCAGAGACTCAGATTTGAGCCCAATTCCACCTACATTAGCTGTGTGACTTTGGACAAGCCAATTAAGCTCTCTAAGCCTCGGCTTCCTTATTTATAAAATGAGAATAAAAATTGTACCTGCCACATGGAGGTGTATATAGAACTAAATGAAATTAAACATAAATGCACTTAGCACAGTGTCTGTCCCATAGTAAAGTTCTTAGTAAGTGTAATTAGTGTTACCCCAATGTATTAAAATAAATATGCCAGCAATCTAGTTAAACATAGTTACTGTGATTTAGCCCTTAGTTTCCAGAGAGCTGAAGCAAAATGGAAGGAAATTTCTATTATTTCTCTCATTTTCTGATGGGAAAGAACATACCAGAGATTCAGGAGTCCTGTCTCCTCTACCCCACAACCCACCATAAATTCTAAGAAGAATGTATCACCTAAGTCTTTATTCAGATGATGTTGAATAACATAACTGTAGACAACACCTTGAAGAAGGATTTAGCAAAGATTGTCGCCACATTCTGCATGTAGCCATTTCTTCTAATGATCCTCTGTCAAAGCCAAGGGCAAGACTTTAAAATGTAACTAAAACTATGGAAAATATTCATTTGCCTTTTGTAGATCACCTTTTCTCGCCCAAGTCTCCCCCCTCTCTGTCCTTCACCCCTGCTTTTCTCTTACTTTTTCCCATCTTTTTCCTCTTTCCTCCTGTTGTCTTGGCTTTCTCCCCTCCCCGCTGTACTCCTGGAAGTTTTCCTTTTCCATGCCCCGATGCTGCCTGACAATGCTTGGCACCGTGGAATATTCTCCAGTTTCAGGGACCTTGAGGACGAAGATCCTAAAATCCTAAAGAACTGGTTTTTTAGAGTGCTGGTTTTCCAGGGTAGTTCACATTTTGAGCTATTAAGTAATTTTGACAGGTTGCATTTTTGTCTCCTTCTTTCTTATGCGTTCTCTCATATAGACATTATAAAGTGGGTTCCCAACTGTGCTTTGAAACCGTGGTGGAAGGCGTGTGGTAACTGTATTCTCATATAAAGACTCTAAAGAGCCTTTAGACTTAAGAATGTGACATAAGCCAGCTCTAAATACATCTATAGCCTATCTCAGGGTGACTTTCTGTTTCACGTTTTGGGAGTCATTTTGGAAAAATCTTGAAGCCAAAAGAACAGCATGTGGACTCTGCTGTCAGGTGGCTGTTCAGTGGTATCCATGGTATCCAGGGCAGTGGGCTTGCCAGTCTTCAGAGGCTGTGAGGGGATATGAGACTGCTGTCACCACATCTTTTGATTTTTTAAGAGAAGCCAGAATCTGGATTTGTATGCACAATTTGCTCATCTGTAAAACACTCTGCAGGCCAAACAGAACACATCAAGGACCACATGCAGCCCCCAGATCTCCCTATTCATGAACCCTGCTTGCTTTGAAAGGCTATAATCTTAATAGGAGACAAATATTTCAAAATTTGAAATAAAGTGCAAGTATTTGCCTTGTAGTCAACTGCACTTTTTTCTAGATTTTAATGATTTTTGATTTGCAGTCAATCGAATGGTTATCATAAGGGTTTAATTACACTTAAAAGTATCAGAATAGTTCACAATTTGTCACCTTAAGCCATCCAGGACCATGTCAGTGTGCCTTACCTGTTCTGAACAGGTCTCTCTGGTGCTGGAAAAACAACAATAAGTTTTGCTCTGGAGGAATACCTCGTCTCCCACGCCATCCCCTGTTACTCCCTGGACGGGGACAACGTCCGACACGGCCTTAACAAAAACCTCGGATTCTCTCCTGGGGACAGAGAAGAAAATGTCCGCCGGATTGCAGAGGTGGCCAAGCTGTTTGCTGACGCGGGTCTGGTCTGCATTACCAGTTTCATTTCTCCGTTCTCAAAGGTAAAAGGATTTGGCACTGTGCATGGTTCCCACGCACGGGCAAATGCTCTCAGACTGCCAGGAAAAGCAGGCCGGTGAGGGAGGGTCAGAAGGAAGGTCTCCTCTGTTTCCCCCTCCCATCATGTGCTCTCTCATTTCCTCTATTTAATATTGGTTATAGAAAGAGAGTTCCTTCATTTCCAGATGCCAGGGCACCTGTGGACATAAGCCCTTCCATGTTCACGATTATAAGGAACATGTGGTCAGAGTTGAAAGGAAGAGAATGTTGGACAAGAAAAACTCTTAAAGCTCTGTAATTTCAGCCATCTGAAAAAGAATGTTTAGCTCACTAAAGAAAAGAGCAATTCACTGCGGAAGCAGAAGGTTATGTGTGTTTAATGTTGACATCATGAGGTGGAATGTCACTCTTCTTCTTTTAAAGCAGGAAATTTCTGGGAGCTACACATATGTACGTGCTTTGAACACATCCTTTGAATGAAAGGTACCCTGGTTGCCAGTACTGTCCTCCTAAGAGGATCTGTTTTCCGTGGTTTTCTCTGAAAGTTCTTGAGAACGGTGTTTACTTACCGGTGTGAAATTTCTGGACTTTCTCTCAAGGACTCTGCAGAGTACAAACCCCAGTGTCAAAGCCTGAAAGCTATCAAATACCAAAGCACACAATGCTTTGTCACTAAGAATTTCCTTGTGAAACCTCTTCCTGCATTCTTAACACATTGACTGCCCCGCTTGGAAAAACAATTTTTTTTCCTTGGAGCCACAGTGTTTTATTGTTTTCTGTGTGTGAGTTATATGCAATGCAATCCACGTTTTTAGAATTAAATTGTCAATATTAGTTGTAACAATAAGAACATCAACAAGGTAAAGAGACGTGTGAGTTATATATGCTCCATGAGGCCCCGGGCTCAAAACTAGTGTGCGTTAAATACAACTCACATGGTAGTTAATGTGTTGAACATAATTGTTTTTCAGGATCGCTCAAATGCCCGCAAAATCCACGAGTTAGCAGGACTGCCATTCTTTGAAATATTTGTAGATGCACCTTTAAATATCTGTGAAAGCAGAGATGTAAAAGGCCTCTATAAACGGGCCAGAGCTGGGGAGATTAAAGGTATGAGATCTCGCTAGTGGCACCTTTGCCAGTTACTTGGGCTATGGGTCCTTATTCTATTCTCAGAAATCTGCCTGATCTTTCAAATTCTGTCTTCCAAAATTACATATAACATACACAACTTTTTATCAAATCATAACATATTTAATATGTCGATGGGCTTATTAAAATGTGGGGCTTTATTTTTTTTAAGAACTGTCACCTCAGCCATAAGTACTTAAGTTCAAAGAACTAAAATGGGTAAGTACATGGTGAGTGTGGGGGGGGCTTCAGAGATTTCCCCACTTTTTGTCTTCCCCTTTAATTCTAATCAGCTGTAGAAGCCTTGAACTTAGCTAGCCAGCTTTTGTTGATAATTTAGGGCTTTCCATATTGAAAATACAGCTGTATATTTCATACCTATGGCTAGAGGTCAAGGATGGCTGTTGGACCCTTTTTGTTATAATCTGAATTCTCAGTTTAACACATTATTCCAACATATGTTATGCTTTATTGATTAAAAAGATGATTCTGTTGGTACAGATGTAATTTTCACCCTTATGTCTTGCAGGATTTACAGGTATTGATTCTGATTATGAGAAACCGGAGACTCCTGAGCTTGTCCTTAAAACCAACTTTTCCTCAGTAAGTGACTGTGTCCAGCAGGTCGTGGAACTTCTGCAAGAGCAGGTGGGTGAACTGGTTGTCTCTCTCTTTTTTTAAATTTAATAAAGTCATGAAAAACAATCCATGCTTCTTTACTGACGCATTCCTTTTTCAGTGTTCATTTCGAATCATTACCAATCTTGTTTCATTTCAGAACATTGTACCCCATACTATAACCAAAGGCATCCATGAACTCTTTGTGCCGGAAAACAAATTTGACCAAGTTCAAGCTGAGGCTAAAATTCTCCCTTCGTTATCAATTACTAAGGTAAGTGCGTACAGACTGGTCAAAGGAGAATTAGCTTAATAGCAGTCATTATAATCCATTTACAATTACTCTTAACAATAAGGAAGGTATGAATAAGGTACGTGTAATGTCTATGAAGAAAAATATACCATTTTGTCATTTTTTTTTTTTTACCTCTTCTCCAAGCAATCTCTCACCAATAGTTGCCACAGAGGCAGATTGGAAAAGTAACTTTTATATTTACATAGGACAATTTTACATAGCTGCCATACCTTCTATTATGCCAAAGTATAGGTGTCAGGCCAGTAATTATTTGTTGGTAGTGGCTGAGGAAACAGTTTGTTCAGAATTTAAGTGCTTCTTGGGCAATTGAGAAGGAATTTAAAGAAAACAAAAAGCAAGCCTGTTCTAAAGTGATGTGAATGCCTCAATCTTTTCTATGCTGCAAATCACACTCTGTCTTCATCAGGGAAAGTCCAGTCTGGGAAGAGAGGGAGACAGCTTTGGGTACATTGATTTTACTACCTGGAATATGTAAGATGCAACCCCAGCAAACTGCCCTGCACATGGCCTTTTTATGGGTCAGTGTTAGTTGGTCTATACAAGCTGATTAAGTCTTCACTAGTACATTTTTATTATCTATTAACATTTTGGAGATTTTATAAGAAGAAGGGTAATAGGGGAATCTGCTTCAGCTCATGAAGAGCCTACACTCTAATAAGTCATGACCAATTAATAAAGAGAACCCCCTGACCCTGTAAAATAAATTTTGAGCACCTCAGTGCTGCAGGCAGATGAGTAAACACATAATTATAATTACAGCGTGTTGTGATAGTTCCAATAACAGAATGATCTGCAAGCTACAGAAGTTCAAAGAATCTATTGATTAATTCTTTTGGTCATAGGGATGACAGGTAAAGTTTCAGAGCAATGACCCATAAGCTGGGTTTTAAGGGATGAATAGGAGTTTGAGGTAGGGAGGAGAATGGGTAGAACACAAGCCCGAAACCATATGTGTGTTTAGACCATACATTGTCTGGCATTGCTGGCAAATATGCCCGCATTTGGAGACATGAAAGTCCCTACATGAGCCCCAGGGGCCGGAGCTTGAAGGGCTTTCAGTATCATACTAATAATTTTGGACTTTATCTTAGAGTCAATGGTTTGCCCCATTTAGTAAGTTGACTGGAAAAATAAAGTACATCTGGTGAAAAAATACAACCAAATCAGAATTTTTGTGGCAAAACGAAAGAAAGAATAAACAGTGAATTTACAAATCAGTTGCACATTATGGGACTAGACACAGCTTAAAGTGTTCAAATAAATCATCTCAATTTGAAATCTTTTCACCACTCTTCCATAGGAATGTTCTAGACTTTAACCTGTCTGGCCCTTAGATCACTGGTCTAAGGGGATAACATGTGGGAACACTTAAAACAAAAGGTTCTGTTCTCATCTTCCTGTCAACTGAATAAGAAAGGACTGCCCTAAGGCCAGATGCCTGAAAAACAGAACTTTTATGGAAATGTTCGCCTGCTTTTTCGTGTGTTGCAGCTGGATCTGCAGTGGATCCAAGTTCTGAGTGAAGGCTGGGCCACTCCCCTCAAAGGTTTTATGCGGGAGAAGGAGTACTTGCAGGTTATACACTTTGGCACCCTGCTAGACGGTATGTTTTTGTTGTTGTTTCTTATTCTTTATTGTTAAAGAAAAATAATCTTTCCCAGAAATTTGACAGGAACAGGAAATGTTAGTCTTTGATCTGTAAAAATATTTAGATCATTTATAGTGTGCCCCATTCTATTATGTATAAGCTTCAATTTTTAGGATATTTTGGTTGTTCCCAAAGGATTATTATTTAAAACTAAGGAACTGCAAAATGAAGGCTTTAAGGCCAAAAGAAGGTTAAGTCTATTTCACCTCCGCCTGCTCTTTGTTGGTCCTGATAGTCAGAAGGCAGCAGATAGAAGCCCCACGGCCCGTGGCTAGGGACCATCTGGAGATACCCATCATGAGCTCAGGACATGTCGTGGATGCACCTGGCACCTCCCGTTCTCCAGGTTGTCCCTGTCAAGCATTATTGCAGCAGCTGCTTTCCTGGGTGGATGTTACGGTATTGATGTTCGAGCCCATATATGAAATACATTAGGATGCCTTCATCCACTAAACTCTAACAAGGCAGTGTTAAGGCAGCTTTCTGGCCCAGGCTGAATGGCCTTTAGAAAACAGATCTGGTCAAGATCGGAAGCATGTGTTATTCAGAAGACTTCCGGACCTTTCTATGATCATTTCCTTCCTAGAACTGCCTGAGCTTATCAAATGTAACTTATCTATTTCAAGACCTTGGGGAATGGCTGCTAAGTGGGGAAGAGGGCAGGATAGAGTCACATTGAAATTATAAAACTGAGCAGGGCTCTAAACCTTTAGGAAGAAAAATCAAATAAATTGTTCTTTCTTGGGAAAGATTTTCATGTTCTGGGCTTGTGTCTGTGCCTGGAGAAGGGGGCATAAAGCCAGAATCAGCCCTCAAACACTGCTCAGAATGAGCCCTGCCCCGTCATTCCCCTTCTGCAGCTGACAATGCCCCGAAACCTGAGTCCTTCAGTTCTCAGATTAAATAACATCCCAGAAAGACACTTGGTTTACTTCTAGCTTGCCTTAACTATGATAAGAATGCCTACCTCTATGGTACTTCTGTTTTCAAAGCATTTTCTCAGAACTTATTTCATTTGATCCTCACAAAAGCCCTAGAAAACAGGCAACTATTATTATCCCACTTCACAGATGAGGAAATTGACCTCAGGTTAAGTGACTTGCTGAAGTCCATACCCTTCATCTGGGCCCTGGACCAGAGTCCAGAATCTCCTGACTCCTGGCCCACTGCACTTGCCCTACCAGGCTGCTCTCCTGGTGTCCTTTCCAATAGAATCTAAAAGGCCCACATGGTGTACCGGGAAGACTGGCATTTATGTTGATGTCTTGATTTTGACACATGCTGAATACAGGCTACATCAAATAAATGTCACTGGACTCAGTAGCCAGCCATGAACAAGAGGTCGATTATGAGCACATGAACCAGAGGTGTGGCCAAAAGACAAGTGAAGCACACTGAAGGAGGGGAACTCATTACGGATAGTGCTGTTGACCTTTGACAAGTATTTGTTCCACAAGGAAAAATAATCAGGGCAGTGAAAGTGGTTGCAGAGGTCAATGTTAATGAAATCACAGGTCATTAGCCTGGGACCTAGGAGTTCAGGTTTGGGTAACAAAAAACATCCTAAAATAGGCAAAACGGTGGGATAAGAATTTATGACTTTTCATGGATTCTTCTTTTTTGAGAGACAGGGTCTCACTCTGTCATCCACATTGGGGTGCAGTGACATAATCATAGCTCACTGTAACCTTGAATGCCTGGGCTCAAGTGATTCTCCCTCCTCAGCCTCCCAAGTAGCAAATGACTATAGGCATTCACCACCACACGTGGTTAATTTTTTTAAAAGAAATTTTTGCAGAGACAGGGTCTTGCTATGTTGCCAAGGCTGGTCTCAAAATCCTGGCCTCAAGCAATCCTCCCACCGCGGCCTCTCAAAGTGCTGGGATTATACGTGTGAGCCACTCTCGGCCTGGCCTTGATGGATTCTTAAAAGAATTTATGATTCATGTAGATGAAGAACAGCTAATACAGATAATCCATGTGGATCATTTAGGCAAAATCTCTTGCCTTTCTTTTTACATCATCTCAATTTCATTTTATGGGGTTTTTCAAGTTGCAAAAACCCATTGCTTTTCTATTTCTTATTTGGTGCTCACCATCATGCGGCGGATGAGGCACTTATTGCTCCCACTTCCTATGTAATGCAGATGTCTGTCCCCTGCCAAGCTCACTGGTCTGGGGACATGAATGAGGTCACTTTCCCATTAATACTTGAATCCCACCAGTTCTAAGCTCCTAGCTGCTGGTGCAGAAATCCCACTTCTTTCCCAAGTGTTTGTGGGAGTCCCCAGAGGTGTGTTTCCTGTGCTCTCGAGTCAGCTCCACAGCCACGTGCCACTTGCTGCATGGATCCATGTGGCTCTCTGCACCCACAGACATGCAGATCCTGCCAGACACTCCAAACACTACAGTTCTCGGTACCCACAGGGCTGCAGCAGTTTATGGACTCTTTCTTGCATGAGAAGAATGTTTCCTTCCTCTCTATTGACCTCAGTTGAAGTGTGTCTAGGAGGTTCCTTGAGTCACGCAGTATTAGAGAATTGAGTGCAACAACTCTCCTAATCCGTATGGATCCCATTATCCTCCTGTGGCTCCAGTGTGGTTATGTCACAGGGGAAGAGGTGGGGTGGAGTGTTCAAGACCAGATGTGCTATTTCCATAATCCCTCCCCCTTCCAACCTGTAGGACCTGCTTCTGAAACTTTCTGTAAGGCTCTTTTCCCCTCTCTGGGAATTCTCCACTGGCTCCACCATCTCCCTCGGCAACCAGTTCATTGGACGTACTCATGCAGCCCCAGTTATAGTCAGGGTTCAGAGCTCCACACACCCTCCAGAAGACTCCTCAGCTCCTATGCAAATCAATTAATAAAAATAGACACCAGAGATGTCATGCTGCCCACCTCTACCACTTTCTGTATCTCAGTTTAGTTTTGGCCTATGTAACGGCAGAATCTCCTGGTGGATGAGAATGTGAACTGTGGAGTCAAACTGTCTGTGTTTGTGTGTCCATGATTACCTGTGAACCTGGGCCATGTTACTTAAACTCTCCCAGCTCATTTCCCTTATCTGTGTGATGGGGATGGTAATAACTGTCACTGGGGTGTCGAAAGTTTAAGAGAATGCCTACGTCAACAGTAAATGTTCATACACGTTAGCTATTATGAACAAACCCCCACTGCACACAGTTAAAAGAACTTGGAGTCTTGGCTAGTGCAGTGGTGAGGGATTGCTGAGCCCAGCAGTTTGAGGTTCTAGTGAGCCGTGATTGCACCATTGCACTCCAGCCTGGGTGACAGGGAGAGACTCTGTCTGTTTAAAGAAAAGTGGATACTTTCCAAGGCAGGGTGTAAAAGTGCTCCACATACACTGCAAGCAAGTATGGACCACCAACTGTGTTCTGACACTGGAGTTTGATATAGGTTATCACATTTAATCTGGATAACACCACTGTGAAGATATTTTGTCCACATGTAGAAATAAGTATTGGAAAGATTAAATAACTTACTTGAAGCCTGGACTCAAGTCCAGGGTATCCTGGCTCTAACGCTCATGCTTGTTCTACCGGGCATACTTTCATGTCCTCTAAACATCTGGGATACTAGGAAGTTCTAGGGCAGTTTGCTTCTATACCTTCTCCCAGAACCTGGTTTGGAAACCATTTGATAGTGGTTGTAACATCTCATATTTGCAAGAAACAACTTCTTGCTGATTTTGGAGGGGCTATTAACATACGTTATAATTATTTTAAAACATAATCATCTGAACAATGCTTTTGGATTGTATTGAACAATATTCCATACAAATTCTGATTTCACCAGCTTTTTGCTATCATATATTCTCTATTTTTAAAAATAGCATAACAAAGAGCTCAGTATATTTGTATGCTGTATGTGTGAAGTGTCGTAGTAGGAATTTGTTCCTTGACATTGTTGTTCTAAGATTATTTTGGTAGAGAGCTGAAAACATGTTTCTTAATTGTGTTTGTATTTCTCTAGGCATGGTCCATGCTGGTATGTACTTTAACTTTCCAAGAAGTTATTATAATTAGACATGTTACATTAATTTGAAATGGTTAAGACCATATCTAAAAAGAAAAATCCACATTAACCAGTTGGAATCACTATCAGTTCATGATCCAACCAGTTATAGTAGAATAATACTGCATTCTTCTGTTGATTGGACTCCAAATAACAGGACATTTCTGGATCAGATGCAGCTGTTGTTTATAATGTTGTATTTGGCTGACAAGAGTAAACTTGTTTCTAAATTTTTGTTGTACATTTTGTTCCTGAATCTTTCAAATTTATGATCCCCTCCCAATGACTGATGGTCCTCCTCTAGTTTCACAAATCTGGAATATATTTTTTCCACTGTGTTTATAAAAAATTTTTAATTGATGAAGAATAAATCCATTTTAGATGTAACTGAAAGTGGATGCACCTGGTTGGATTGTGTACGATTGTATTTCATTTGTTTGCAATGTGTGATTATGCATGAATTTAATTTCAAGCTACCATGATTGATACTGATAAAACCAGGAATCAATATACTTTTGCTGTGACTGTAAACTTCTGCATTGTACCAGAATGGAAAGGTAAAATTCTGAAGATGTCATTTACCTTTGGTGTTGTTCTTATCATTGTTGTTTTGCCTTTTAAAGAGTCTAGTTAAGCGATGAAGAGTAATTTAATTTTGCATGGAAAGAGCCCCAAACAACCAATTAGCAGATCTATGCGGCTAAACCAGAAGGCTTGAAAATTATTTAAAGCAAAAGAAAAATCATTCAATTGAACAATGAGTTGTCTGTTGGACTTACCATGGTTAAAAAACCACAATATTTTCTTTCAAAATGAGATATACCACAATAAAATAATCAAGGCAGTTCCTACCAGAGCTGAAACACACAGAGGAAAAGGTTGAAAGCCCCAATGTTGAAAGCCACGGAGGATGTTTCAGCACAGTTAAATTGCTGGATAAATTTATGTATTAGAAAAGTTGATAAAGATGATAGAGAAACTATCCTGCTTGCGCCCACATGTAGCTGCAGGCGTAGGAGACCCGCTGGCATTATTACACGGCAGAACTCCTTTCCCTAACTTCCCACACATTAGCTCCCTTATTGTGACACCTGCCAGGGAGTGCTGTTCTGTCATTTTGGATTTTCACTCAAGGCCAAGATGAAGGTGAATCAGAGGCTACATTGGATGGAAGGAGGCGACGGCAATCCCTTGGATTTCAACTCAGAATACTTGATGCAAGGCAATGTTGCAGGCGTGTTGCCCGCAGGCCCAGGCTTCCTCCAGCACCTTTCTCCACATTTTACTTTGCATTTTGCTTTATTTTATTTTGGTCAACTCACTCTTTATAAGCAGAGGAAAGTATCATGGTCTTTCTTTCAGCAGTGTGGTAGGTAAGCCATCTACAAAAAGCAAGACTTCCAATTAGAACATCAGCATCCTTGAATGTATTATTCTCTGCCAGTCTTTCTCCCTTTTCCTCGCCTAGACTATGTGGTGGACTTAATTATCTTTCATCATAGATTCTCATTAATATAGTGCTTTATGGTATGCCCCTGGCAGCAACCCAGGGAGGTACGTATTATTTATTATACCATTTTTCCAGTGAGGAAATTGAGTTCAGAGAAGTTGAACGTATTAATAAATGGGAGAACTCCTGATTTTGAGTTTACTGTTATCTGGAAAGGACTTGGCTGCTCTTGAACTTTGAAACAAAGAGTTATCTGAACAACAAAACTATTACTTTCTGTGCACAGTGGCTACTTTGTGGTTGATAAAGGATCCCAAAGCATATTGCAGGATTTTATGATAGACTGGATTTCTTTATCGCTGGCAGTTGCTGTCTGTATCTTGTGACATTCCTTAGGTTCTAGTACCTTTTGAAGAGTGTTTAAAAGGTGCAAAATGATATGCCTGCAAAGTTTGGTTTCATAGCTACTAGGCGGAGTCTTACACCCCAAAGGAATAGAGCTCACATCTTTAACTCTGTCGGAGGTATTCTAAATGTTGGATTTGAAAGTTAGGTTTAAACGACTTCATTACTTTACAGCATATTTCCTCAAATCCATAAATAATTACATTTGTTTTCTCTGGACTTGAATGCTTTCTTTATTCACCTTCCTTTCATTCCCTTCTGAATCTTGAACTTGGGAACTTCTGCAAAATTTTCCCTAATATTCATTTGTGTTACACACTTATCCACGGGCCCTCGTTTTCTCACCTGTAAGTACAATTAGGAGACTGGCATATTTGTTAGAATGTTGGGGCATTGTTACAAAAGGGGGAACGCAGTTTTATAATTTTTTTACATTATCTAGCATTATTAAGAAATGGGGTGTTTTTAGAGGGCCAAATTTTATCCTTTTAAGCCCCAAACTAAAAAAAAAAAAAAATTACATCTTTTAACCACTTTATCTGAAACATTTCAAAATATTCTTACTAAAAAACCTTATTCACTTGAAAAAAAAGAATATATTAACATAAAAAAAAACTTTAAAAACTGACTCTGTCATTAGTTTTACCAGTTATTAAACTGGGTTCTAATATAATGGTGCCCTGAGGATTAGGAGACCTGTGGGATTGGTCACACTCTGTATTTTTAGTTTCTGTATTAGTCAGGGTTCTTTGGAGAAACAGGACCAACAGGATACAGAGAGAGAGAGGGAGAGGAAGAAAGAGAGAGAGAGAGAGATTGATATTCTAAGGAATTGGCTCACAAGATTGTAGAGGCTGGCAAGTACAAAATCTGACAGGCTGGAGGCCCAGAGAAGAGTTGCAGTTCGAGTCCAAAGGCTGTCTGCTGGCAGAATTCCCTCTTCTGGGAGATCAGTCTTTTTCTATTCAGGCCTTCATCTGATTGGATGAGGCCCACCCACATTATGGAGGGTAATCTGCTTTACTTAAAGTGTGCCAATCTAAATGTTAATCTCATCTAAAAAATACCTCCACAGAAACACCTAGAATAACGTCAAACCAAAAACCTGGGTACCATAGCCTCGCCAAGTTAACACATAAAAGTAACCATCACAGTTTCTATGTCTCTTTTTAAAATAGTTTTCCTGTCTCTTCCTTTGTGGTCAAGCTGTCATTTGACATTTCTTGCTGCTGAAGATGTAGCTTCTCTGAACACCACATTCCATACCTTCTAATTTGTTGTGTTGTGTTGTATACTGAGAAATCAGATTACCCAGTTTATTTAAATTCCTGTCAAAGTAAGAGACTCAGGGTAAGGGTGAGAGAGGCTCTCACCCTCCAAAGAAAGTGTGTGTGTTAATAAATGACTTTATGTCAATTTTCACACCTCTGTTTTTTAACTGTTGGTTCTCAACTGCAGTTGAATTAGCAAGACTCGAAATTCTGAGATAAGTGAGATTACCAGTCTATTTCAAAACATTTAAAGGGGATGCTGTGCCTTGACCACAGTGAACAACATCAGGAGGATTGCTTGTTTTGGGTCCTGTAGATAAATGTTAATTGTCTAATTTTTTTTCTTTCCTTTTAATTCAGTGTGTTGGTAGTGCAGATAGAGCCTAAACGGATAATAAAATAAGAGACTTGCCTGACATTTTAACAAAGTTCATTTCCAAGAAAGACTAGAGGTTTTGGTTTTGGTTTGTTTTGCCAGCTTTATTTTGTTTAGTTGGATTTTAAAAGACTTTGAACTCCCTAGTGCATTGAGGTCAGGACTAAGCTTTAAAAAGGGAACCCAGAAGGGAGACATCCCCTTCTTGTCCCCAAAGTTAAATCATTTACTGAGCCTATCTGTGTGATCTGAAACTCAGCCCACTTTTCACACATGCTCCATCTCCTGCTTTGGGAAGCCCCTTGAGGACTTCTCATAGATTCTAGAGAAACTGGTGCAGCCAATATGACCATGTTGGATTGGGGTCTTAATGCCTTTTGAAGGAGATGTTTGGAAGGGTCATTGTGCACATTTGAGTCATCCTTCAAGGCCGGCACACCTTATATCCAGTATTCATACATCACTTTGGCTCTTCCCACAGATGGAGTGATCAACATGAGCATCCCCATCGTACTGCCTGTCTCTGAGGATGATAAGACACGGCTGGAAGGGTGCAGTGAGTTTGTGCTGGCATACGGTGGACGGAGGGTGGCTATCTTACAAGACCCCGAATTCTATGAACACAGAAAGGAAGAGCGTTGTTCCCGAGTGTGGGGGACAACATGTACAAATCTCCCCCACGTCAAAGTAAGTCACAAAACATTTGGAAGGGTTTTCTTGATCCATTTCAACTTAGGCCAAACATAATTCTTTTTAATTCCTTCTCAAAGGACTTAGAAAAAGTAAAGTTAGATGGGAGAATGCATTTCTGAGGTCAGGTTTGCAGACTATGCCTTGGGAGAGCTTTTAGAAAGTAGCAAAGAAATGTCTTTCTGTTTGAGGGCTGGTCTCAATGATCTCTTGAGTCCTCAGATCCTGTGACAGCTGGCATCCTCTGCTCAATGGGACCAGGTAGGTAATTTAGTCTGCCATCATAAGTAGAGGAACAAAATTATAGCTGTAGCTGTGCATAAAACCACAGCCAGAGCTTGCAGCCCTATCTATCTTGAAAATGCACAAGGAAAATAAATATCTTCGTGCAGACTGGGCCCAACCAACCACTGGAATGAGAACTGAGTTCGTGCTCTATGGCCAGTGAGAGGTCAATGACATCTTTTCAGTAAACAAAAATCAGCACAGATACTGGCAGAGTTTCCACAGGGAAGATACCACACTTTTGTCAGTGGATATTTTTAAGATTGAAAATATGTGTTCATCTGATTAGGATCAGGTAGGGTCTATCATACCTACAGGAAACAGACTAAAACTCAGATTCCTTCACAACTTCTGAGTGCTGTTGTGATGAGGTGGGGGGAGCATTATAGACTTGCTGGGTGTGGTTCATTCACCATAAAGAAAAATACATGAAATTGAATGGAAAAACCATCCCTCATTCAAGATAAGAGCATTAGGGTGGAAACGAAAAAAGTCATATACTACTAATTTGACTTCTCAAATTCCCCAGTTGCAGGAACTGACTTTGAGCAGGTTCACAGGAATAGAGACCAATTTGAGGCCCTGGAGCCTCTAAAAAGCCTTGTGATTGGACAAGGCACATCCTCTCTTGGGCCTCAGTTTCTTTATTTACAAAAGGACGGGGTGAGAATCAAAAAAACTCTATCTCTTCCACACCAATGACTCTGCAAAAAGGATATGGTTTTTTGTCTGTTTTTTGTTTTGTTTTTCATTCTTGTTGTGAAATGTTTCACACAGGATGAGATTTTTCAAGGTCCCTGTTGGTGGTTTCTGAAGACCTTCCTTATCTAAATACAAAAGGTCTATGGCAAGGAAAGCAGCTTTTTCATTTATGAGACACAACTATCTACCCTACAGATAAGCATCTTTCATCTCTATGTACATTCAGATCAAATCATGTGAACAGTTTTTCTCAAAGAAACTGGCAGTCCTTGAAATAGTTGGACACTGACTGAAAGCTGTTTGAGGAATATCATGTTCTGGGCCTTAATTATTTATGTCTCTGATCATTTCTTTCCTGATCCTAATATAGGTTTGAGATCTTATCTTTACTCAGTGACTCAAAGAATAGTGGCCTTTCTCATTATGCCAGCTCTGACATGTCCACTCTTCAGGTCTAACATCCACATATACATGACTAGCACAAAACAAAACAAAACAAAACAAAACACTGAAGAGTCTCTTGCACTTCACTTTACTGTGCTTCACAGATATTGCTTATTTTACAAATTGAAGGTTTGTATCCACAATGCATTGAGCAAGTCTATGGGCACAATGTTTCCAACAGCACGTGCTGAGTTCATGTCTGTGTCACTTTTTGCTAATTCCTACCATATTTGAAACTTTTTCATCATTATTATATTTGTCATGGTGATCTAAGATCAGTGATCTTTGATAATACTATTGTAATTGCTTTGGGTAGCCATGAATCTTGCCCATATAAGATTGCAAACCTGATTAATAAATGTTTTGTGTGTTCTGACTGCTCCACCAACTGGCCATTTCTCTGTCTCTCCTCAAGTGAACTGCTCAGCCTTTCTTTGGGAACTCCTTTTAAAGCTAGGACTTACCTCTTAGCCTCTTGCCACCACCACCCAACAAAATCTCTCCTGCAGTCCTTCTGGAGCTGGTCATTAAACCATTCTCTCTTACTTTTTCATAGGCTCATCCTTCAACCTACGACATTGTTCCTTCCATCCCTGCCTCTACATCTTATTTCCTCCTTTCAGCAGTCAGCCCTGACCCACAAGCGTGACTGGGTGCATCCCAGAGCAATTTGTACCTGTCCTGTCCACACCTGTGACAAGTGATGCTGGAATATCAGCAAGGGGGTCACTGATGAGAGGAAGTGGGTGCAGTGGGAAGAAGAGTCAGGTTTGCAGGAGTCTGAGACTTGGGTCCTGGCTTTGGAAGACAGCTGTGTGCACTTGAACTCTGACATTTCCCCTTTGTAAAACTGCCTTCTCATCCAAAAATGAGAACATTCAATCCCTGTGATCTCCAGGTTCCCCAAAGCTCCAGATTCTGTGACTATAAGAGATAACACAAAAATGAATATATCTTCTCCACTTGTATCATGTAAGCTTTTCTTCTTGATTCTGTTCTCTGCACCCTTCCATCGTGACCTTATCTTCCTGAACCTACCATTTCTTTCCTTCCTTCTGGTTCCTTTCCCTTCTCTCCTCTCCCTTTCTGCATCCTGACTTTTCCACCTTCCCACCCCCAGCTACTCTTCCCTTTCCACTCAGAGCATTCCCTCATCATCTCCACGTTGGTTTTTTCCTGTCTTCCTCTCCTTGCCTTCTTTGAGCCTATTCACCATAGCGTTCGTAGTCTTCACTCCAGTGTTTGAGCTCATCCTCTCCTCCTTTTTGCATTCTTGTTGTCTGTGGTCCTGAGCTTAATTCTCCTTTCACTATTTCACTGGACTCTCTAATCCTTATTCCTCATTCCTCTTTGTGCATCCAGTTCCGCAAATCCTCTGGCTGTGGCTCCTCTTCTGCCTTTGGCGGGACACTTGAAAGGGGTTGAAGACTTCTAGGCCAAAAGCCCTGGGAAATTAGGCAGAGCCTCTGGACCTCCCTTCCTGATAGCTGGACACAGTTCTAGGGTTAGTTGGAGAGAGATGCCCTTTGTCCCTCCCAATCCCAGAAATGCCAAAAGCATAATTTCAGCAGTGCTGTTCAAACAGAGGTGTTTTTAGGCTGGGTGGCGAATGCATTTGGTTACGGTTCAACGCTGTGTTCCCGGATAGATAGAGTGACATAGGGTGGACCTCTAGTGTTCAGTATGAATTACTGCACCCCCAGGGATTTGGGGTCTTAACTCTCAAAATTGTATCGGTAGTCTAACTCTAAGCAATGAGGAGAGAGTATATGTATAGGTATGGGTATTTGAAAATATCTTGTTCAGTGGTTTTCCTGAGCAGAGTTTAGAAAGGAGGCCATGAAAATATAGCCAAGTCTCTTGCTCAATTACCTTTTCTCTACCACAGGGTTTCTCAACCTCAGCACTATCAACAACTTGGGCTAGATAATTCTTTGTTGTGGGGGTTGTCCTATGCAATTCAGGTTATTTAGTAGCATTCCTGGCCTCTATACAGTAGATTGACAGAGAATGATACAGTAGATGCCAATAGCAAGCCAGTAGTGACAATCAAAATTGTCTTTGGATATTGTCAAATGTCACCAAGAGAGTTGAATTGGCCTCTATTGAGAACCTGCTCTATCCCTACTCCCTGAACCCCTCTAGGTTGTAAACCCCAATATCTGTCTGTAACAGAGAATGTGAACCAGGAGTACACCATCACTATCTTTGTGTCTTCCTATTAGGTGTTTTAAATCCATCAGCTTCCTCTCACTCACTCTTGCCTCTTTCTTCTCTGCTAGCATTTTAGGTGGCCAAGTTGTCCTTGGACAATGGCAAATGGCAGTTATGGGATTTGGATCAGGGAAGGATTGTAAGACCATTACATATTTGAGGAATAAGGTTTTCTGCAATGTTTGTCTCAGTGACTCAGAAGAGACTTAGCTCTGTGATTGATTAGTATAATCAATATTAGATGGAACATATTAAAATTTACAGAAAAAAACAAAGATTATCGTGTTTTTATTTTTCATCATTTTGACCATTCTTTACACTTGGATCACACCTAACATTTGTGGGACCCATGGCAAGAATACAAATGGAGACCCACATATCACATAAAAGTTAACACATAACTCACAAAATGTTAAATAAAATGTGCTCAATCCTTCTATTTTGGCAACTGTGCCTTGGTAACAACCTGGAAAGTCAGTTTCAAATTTAGAGGCTTTGCATCAGAATATAGTGTGTAGAGTTGGCCCTTGGCCTTTAGCCAATTCCTCCTATGCTTGGCCTCTTCTGTGCTATGAGGCCTCTGTATCTATTCGTGGGCAACCCAGGCTGCATGTCCAAGCTCTATCTGCTGCACCCTCTGCAAGCTCCCCTTGCTTGGCCACCAGAACTGGGGCCATTCCAAGTGCATGGTTCACCTTGGAAAGACAGGCTGGGAGAATAAGCCCTCCCAGGCTCTAGCAGGCAGCTCAGGGTTGATTGGGCGGGGAATTCCCAAGTCTAGAGTACCTGGGTAATGGGCCAGAGAGTGGGTGATGACTCTGGGTGGGTCATCCTGGCCCTGAAGAAAGGGGCACAAGCAAAGGAAGCCAGAGTTGGGCCATCTAAAGAGTGGGATGCTATGAAGATGGCTCTTCTATAGGTCTCTATGCTCTCTTCACATTCACCCTTTCCTGAAGTCATGTGTTCAGCTGAGACTGGACATAGAAAAGTGAGAGTATTGATAGTAACCTCAGTGAAATCCTCAGTGAGTAAAAAATGGTGGGGTTTTGTGTTTTCCTTTTTTATTTTTTATTATGGCAAAAAACACATAATAAACTTTATTATCTTAACCATTTTTAAGTGTACAGCTCAGCAATGTTAAGTATATCCACATCGTTGTGAACCAGATCTCCAGAACTTTTTCATCTTGCAAAACTGAAACGCTATATCCATTAAACGACTCTCCTTTCTCTCCTTCCCCTAGCCTCTGGTAACTCCCATTCCACTTTCTGTCTTTATGAATTTGACTACTTTAAACATCTCATATAAGTGGAATCATACAGTATTTATCTTTTTGTTACTCACATTTCACTTAGCATAATGTTCTCAAGGTTCAGCCATTTTGTAGCATGTGACAGGATTTCCTTCCTTTTAAAGGATGAGTGACATTCCATTGTACGTATATCATATCTTATTTGTCCACTTATCCAACAATGCACATTTGGGCTGCTTCGACTTCTTGACTACCATTAATAGTGCTGATATGAACATGCGTGTGCAAATATCTCTTCGAGATATACATAACTAGAGGTAGAGTGCCAGATCATACGGTAGTTCTATTTTTAATTTTTGGAGGACCCTCCATACAGTTTTCCATAGTGGTTGCAACTTCTACAATCCCACTAACAGCACACAATTTCTCCACATCCTGGCCAACGCTTGTTATTTTCTGTTTTTTAATAGTGGCCATCCTAATGAGTATGAGGTGATATCTCATTGCAGTTTTGATTTGCATTTCTCTTATAACTAGTGTTGTCAAGCCTCTTTTCACATGCTTTTGCCCATTTATAGATCATATTTGGAGGTAGGTCTATTCAAGTCCTTTGCCCATTTCTGAAGAAATGGACAAATGTTGAGTTGTAGGAGTTCTTTACATATTTTGTATACTAACCCCTTAGCACATAATACGATTTGCAAACATTTCCTCACATTCTATAGCTTCTCTTTTCACTCTGTCGTGTCCTTTGATGCACAAAAGTTTTAATGTTTGAAGTAGTTCCATTTGTCTGTTTTTGCTTTTGTCACCTGTGCTTTTGGTGTCATTTCGAAGGAATCATTGACAACTCCAATGTCATAAAGCTTTTCCCCTACATTTTTTTCTAAGAGTTTAACAGTTTTAGGTCTTACATTTAGGTTTTTAATCCATCTTGAGTTAATTTTTGTATAGGTGGTATAAGATAAGGGTCCAACTTCAATTTTTTGCATGCAGATATCCAGTTTTCCCACACCATTTGTTGAACAAACTGTCCTTCCCCCCACTGAGTGGTCTTGGCACCCTTGTCAAAGATCATTTGAGAAAATGGGGTTTTAGGTAACTGTCTATGTTTAGCCTTAGATGTGGATTTGGCTACATTTTGCTGCTCCCTGGAGATTTTCTTTTGTTTTAAAATTGGGTATAAGTGGAGAAGATTGTTTCTTTTGAGAGTTTCTATAGAAATTATGCTCAACAATAATTAACTGGTAGAAAACAATTTGTCTGCTTCTTTTTTTTCCCCCAGGGCCTCTAATTCGGGTCCTTGTTAAAAATGATCTAAGATACATCAGATTGTATTAGGAATATGCTAGCAATGATTCTCAAACTATGGTTTACAAAACCCTGGGGGCCTGCAAGACCTTTTCAGAGAATCCCCAAGCTCAAAACTGTGTTCATAATATTAAGATGTTATTTGCTCTGGAAGGCCGAAGCGGGAGGATCGTTTGAGCTCAGGAGTTTGAGACCAGCCTGAGCAAGAGTGAGACACCGTTTCTACCAAAAATAGAAAGAAATTAGCTGGACAACTAAAAATATATGGAAAAAATTAGCCAGGCATGGTGGCACATACCTGTAGTCCCAGCTACTCAGGAGGCTGAGGCAGAAGGATTGCTTGAGCCCAGGAGTTTGAGGTTGCTGTGAGCTAGGCTGACACCACGGCACTCACTCTAGCCCGGGCAACAGAGTGAGACTCTGTCTCAAAAAAAAAAAAAAAAAAAGATATTATTTGCCTTTTTCATTGTGTTGACATTTGGACTGCTGGTACAAAAGCCATGTGGTGAAAATGTTAGCACCTTAGACTCAAGATAGTGACAACTAGCTGTACCTGAAGTCATTGCACGCTTCATCACCATGCACTTGCAATAAAAACAATGCCAGCTTTACATAAGAATGTTCTTGATAAAGCTGTAAAAATGATTATTAAATCCTGACCCTTGAGTCTCTATCTTTCTAATATTCTGTTACAAAGGAGGAATTACACATTAAAATACTTCTACCACATACACCAGTGTATTAATACATGGTTGTCTCAAGGAAAGTACTTGTACAACTGTTTAAGCTATGAGCAAAACTAACCATTTATTTTTTTTTTCGTGGGACACCACTTTTACTTGAGAGAATGAGTGACAAACTATGGTTATTCAGACTTGGATAGTTGACAGATACTTTTCGAAATGAACAAAGTGAATCTGTCGATTCAAGGAAAACAACTGAGAGTATTAGTTGCCAATGATAGACCTTGAGGTTTCGAGCAAAATTTTTCGAAAATGTTTATTCATCACTTAACCTTAGCAGCTTCCCAATACTTAGAAAATTTTCTGTTGAGACTAGAAGCGATATTCACAAATGTGTGTGCATTTTTAAAAATCCTAAAATGAAATATGTCAACATTTGGAAGACTTACAAACTCAGTGAACCAGTATTTTCTAACTGACCAATATATTAATATCATGTCACAAAATCATTCATGGGTAAAAGATTCATTCAAAGCACAATGATTTTTGGTGTAACACAGTATTAAAAGTGCACTGATATGGCTTCAGAGTCCACAGTACAACTTACCTTTTAGAAATAGCACTTGTTGAGTTTTGGTATCAAAGTTTAATATCAAAGAAGAATATCCACAATTATATAACAAAGCTATTCAAATCCTCTTCACTTTTCCAACCACCTACCTGTAGCTGGATTTTCTTTTTATACTTCGGCCAAAACATTACTACAGACTAAATGCTGATGTAGATGTGAGAATCCAGCTATCTTCTATTATGTCAGACATTAAAGAGATTGCAAATATAAAACGATGCCATACTTGGTATTTGTTGGAAAAAAACAAAATGTTTAGTTTTTAGTAAAAAATGTTATATATGTTAACATGTAATGGGTTTATTATTGTCAATTTTAAATGACTATACATTTGTAAAGTTTCTTAGTTTTAGTTTCTAATATGAAAACTTATATATATAACTCACATATATAAGAGCATAAAGGGGTCAAAAGACCAAAAAATTTGAGAAATTCTGCACTAGAAATGCTGAAGAACCACAGGAAGTTCAAGAGTATTCCAAGATTGGCCCAGGAGAAAATTTTTCAGATAAAATAGAAATCAGTATTAATCACTGACCACTTTAACAATATTCTTTCTAGATGGTGATGGAGAGTGGGGACTGGCTGGTTGGTGGAGACCTTCAGGTACTGGAGAGAATAAGGTGGAATGATGGGCTGGACCAATATCGCCTGACGCCTCTGGAACTCAAACAGAAATGTCAAGAAATGAATGCTGGTATGTAGGCTGGCTCTGGTGCATTTGTTAATACTCCTTACCACCCTTGGATTAAAGAATTAAGGATATCAGGAGTCAGCATTTTTACAGTTAAAAAAATCCCTGAAAACATCTTCTGTTGGAATGTCTGATATAGAAACAGTTTTATAAAGTTGTAATACATCCATATATTAGAACCCTATACAGCAGTTAAAAATATGCACCAACATAGAAAGATACCTAAAGTGTATTTATTAAGTGCAAAAGCAAATTGCAGAATATGCATAGCATAATCATATTTGGAAAACAGAATAAAATATAATCATAGTTTTAAAAACTCAACCTACATCTATATGTATAGAAGCAGAAAAGCCTCTGGCAGCATGTGCACCAAACTGCAGATGACAGTGGCTACTTCTTGGGGATGGAGTTGGACCAAAGGAAGGGGAAGAGTTTCATTCTTTATTATATACATTTTGAAAAAGAGGGAGAAAATATAATTATAGGATTGTTGGTGATTTTTATATTCTATTTTGGGCTTTTCTGTATTTCCCAAGTTTTCCATAATGGATATATATATATATATATATATATGATACTTCATAACCAGAAAAAAAAATTAAGGCTCTCAGGAGTCCATCACTAAGTAGAGTAATTTTGAAGATTTCTTTAAAGTGAAGGTGAAATTTTTTTAATGTGCAGATTTTTGCCCCTTGCACAGGCCCCAGAAACATTCCTCATGATTATTCACTTACCCTGGGAGAGTGAGACTGGAGCAGGATACAAGAAGACTGGTTAACCCTGTCCCTGCATAAGCCTTGGTTTGCAGGAAAGGTTCTGGCAACAAATGTTTGCATTCCTGAGTGAGGCTCTCCCTAAAGGACTTTCTGCCTCTGCATCCCATCCCTGTCAGAGCAATCCAGTATTGGTTAGTGCTGTTAACACCATAAAGACCCAGGTGTATTCTCCAGCAGATTATCAAAAGCAAGTGGATTTAATGAAGGTCTGAACAATAAACATAACTGTGTCTCTCCTTTCTGTTCTGGGGACAAATGACACCATGTGTTTCTTTGACGTTGGCCTTTCTGCTTTCCTTTCCCAGATGCGCTGTTTGCATTCCAGTTACGCAATCCTGTCCACAATGGCCATGCTCTGTTGATGCAGGACACCCGCCGCAGGCTCCTAGAGAGGGGCTACAAGAACCCGGTCCTCCTGCTACATCCTCTAGGTGGCTGGACCAAGGATGACGACGTACCTCTGGACTGGCGGATGAAGCAGCATGCAGCTGTGCTCGAGGAAGGGGTCCTGGATCCCAAGTCAACCATTGTTGCCATCTTTCCATCTCCTATGTTGTACGCTGGCCCCACAGAGGTGAGCAATTCCCTGAGCTAGGATATGGGACTGAGGGATGCAGGCGCAAACTTTACTTAAAAGGGTAAATGAGTCCCTGGTGTAGAGATCAGCCAGGGTCTCCACCAGTGTTACGGCTCAACCAAGAATGCTCCAGATCACAATCTCAGGCTGAAGGAGGAGCAGAGACTCTTTTCCTTTCAAAGAGCTTTCGAACCTCTCTTCAAATTTCCATATTTATTGTAGGGAAAGGTATATGTGTTTACAGTAAAGAACATATAGATAAAATCTTTGGTGTCATATAGTAAGCATATTGCTCTAAACAAGTCTATGTAGTGATATACATTAATCTTATAATTATCTTGTTATTTCCTTGTTGGTCCTTAAGACTATAAAGAAAAGGGCAGGGACCCAACACCAGTCATGCTTCCATACATTGCAAAGCCTGTTGTGTGCAGCTGGCTTTTAACAATCATATCCCAAATCCTGTTTGCAGGACTGTCAGATATCGCCTTTCTCACAGTCCCTTTTCCCAGGGCTTTACACCTTTTCTAACATCCTCTACATCTCCCCGTTTCTTATTATAATTAAATTGTTCTTGATAGCTGAGACTGAAAGCCAGGTAAGTGTCCAACTTCTGTTTGTGTAGAGTCATGCGGCGAGTTATAGAGATCAATTGTTTGCAGATTGCTAGGAATAGAAAACAAAAGAGTATGATAATTCCAGCCATGACCCAAATTCTAATCTTAAGTCCTGTAAACCATTGTTTGGCGTTTAACTAAACAAAACTATCTTGTAGCTTTTGTAAAGTATCCGTTTGTAAATTTGAATGGAGTTGTTGTATTTGATTTTGTAGTTGATTTTCCAATTGTAGTACTTGAGATTCTAAATGAGATTTGAAGGCCCCCTGAAGATTATATTTTACCATGTTCCAAGGATAAGTGGATTTGTTATATGGTAACACACTGTGTGTGATACTCCCAATCACATTGTAGGCCTTGATGGGTAATAAATGCTTGTTGTTGGTCTCTGACCCATTCTACAGCTGTTTCAAGTGCTTTAGTCTACCCAATATGCCTTTATCAACTTCAGTTTGTTCTTGCATTTGATGTGTAATGTTTACCAGAACTGCTTCCACTACGGCTGCCGTATGTATTGACTCAGTAAGAGATACAGCAGTCACTATTGCAGTAGCAAGGATAATAATAGCTGAAACTAAGAAAGCAATAAGAGTAGCCAGGAAGCGTTTGGGTCTAATTTTTATTAAGGCAGACTGTAAGACCTGTAAGGAAGATTCTTCTTGCCATGTCCTTGTTAAATTAACAGGAACCCAAGCTTGTGCTCTTGTTTTTAATATAAATATATAAGTGATATTAAGATTAGTAACATTTTGCAATGTAATATAAGAACTATACCAAGAAGGACTCTCACAAGAGATATTATAATAGGTATTAAGTTGAGATATATAGGAGGTTTTTGTCCAAAAAAGAAAACATAAGGGCGAGTGGTACAAATCATCACTGAATCACTGACATTATTGTTTAAAGACAGTGTATAGATGCCAGTGCGATTAGTATAATCGCCATGGGATGATACACGATTAAAAAATGGCAATCCCATTCTCCATATTTTGGTATGGATAGGACTCATATGAATGCCGTCCGTGAATTGAAGAATGGGACCTGATAATCCATGCTCACTCCAAGTAATGGAATAATTAGATGGGCTGCCAAATTCCAATTCTTTACTGGAAGAATGTAGTTTCCTGTGGGGTCCCCAATCCCATAAAGTTCCATTATTAAACAAAGTTAATCCTCTGGGATCATCTCTTCTACATGGGGCCCACTGTACTGAATAAAATTTATATCTCCAATCTCTTTTTGGTCTGCAAACGGGCAGATCAGGAGTAAAAGTTGTAACATTGATATTTATGGTTATATTTACTGTTAAAGCAGAGATAAAGGTTAAATTAGCTGTATTGTTGCCACTCTTAGGCTGATAATATAAATATTCCTGAGGAATAATTTGTGCACAACCCTTGACATTTGGTAAGGTGGAAAAACAGGAGGGTTGCTGGCAGTAAATAGTATGGAATCACTGTTATGTAACCATTCGGTACATGACGTCAATGGTCCTGATGGTGGCAGCCAAACACCACCAGTCCACCCTGTGTCATTAGAAGACAAAGGAGGATCTACATCCCACCATGTAAGCACATGAAATAAAAGTGAGTTAATAAATGGCTCCAATAAACTGTGGCAGCTGCTGAGGATAGCAGTGACCATCCTAAGAGGAGTAGAAACCATTGTTCCTACCTGTTCAGCAGCCTCGCCTATAATGGCCAAATATGCCAAAAATCGATTTTCTGCTGTTGGAGCAACCCCAGCCCTCCTAATTATTGTTATGTCTTTTGATCAAGCCTCTTCAATTGTCCCCAGGTCACGTCAGGAGCTTGTCTTGTCCTGGTCAACGCTGTCCTTTGTTGCTCCAGGGTCAGATTCCTCTTCTGCGGGTGGGGCTATCTGCTTTTCTCCAGCTCATGCTATAGCTTCACCCTTTTTGTAGGGACCCACTCTGGACCTGTTTCTCGAGACACATAAACTGCACCTCTGCTCGATTTCAATACCGGAAAAGGTCCTTGCCATAAATTATTAACCCAGTCTTTAACCAACACTTTCTTTTGATTTAATTGATTAAAATTATGTTTTCCCAATCTACGATCCATAGCAGTATAGCCATCATCTCCAGTATTAAGAAAATTCAAAGTAAATAAGGCTTTAGCTATTTGTTCTCTAGGTGATGGTCCCTTGCTCCCCTTTTTTTGTTGTAATAGATAAGTTTTAAAGTACAGTGTGCAGGTTCTACTAGAGCTTGCCCAGAAGAATTATAGGGTATTCCTGTGATATGCTTAATTTTCCAATTTTGAAGGGTAGAATTATATTTTTTTGATAAACAGCAAGGGCTATTGTCTGTTTTGATAATTTTGGGTAATCCTAAAACTGTGGGTGTTTCCAATAAATGTTGGACAGCATGATGGCTAGTTTCCCTGACAAGGGCTTGGCATGAATGAAGCCTGCATGTGTATCAATAGTAACATGTGTGTATTTGAGACAACCAGAATGAGGTAATTTTGTAATATCAGTTTGCCAAATATCATTTGGCAATTGCCCTCGTGTGTTTACTCTGGGACCCATCGTTATAGGGGACAAAGAGAATTGTTGACAATCAGGACAAGTTTTAACATAAGTTTTGCTTGAGCTAGAGTAATGGGATAAAGTTTTTTCAGTGCCTTAGCATTTGGATGGAAGAAGTCATGATCCAAGTATGCCTGCTGAAAGGCTGTAGTATCTTGGGCAAGGAGACATAATTGTTTAGATACAATATTATCCACAAAATTATTACCATCCATAAGTGGCCCAGGTAAGGAAGTATGTGGTCTAATATGTGTAATAAAAAGTGGATGATGCCACTGAGAAAATAGAGTATGTAAATTAATAAATAATTGTAACAAAGTTTTGTTAGGTATGTCCTTAATAAAGGAGGTATCAAGGTTTTGTAGAGCATGAACAGCATGTTGAGAATCACTAATGATATTGATAGAGATGTTAGGAAAGCTATTTAATGCTAGTATTAATGCTCCGATTTCAGCTTGTTGAGTGGATTGGAAATCTTTCTTATATAAGTAATTCCATTTGGCATCTTTCCAAGCTATGGCTGCTCTGCCTGTTTTGCCAGAGCCATCTGTAAAGATGGTCTTAGCACCTGAGATAGCGGTAGATTGTAAAATATTAGGCAAGGTGATAGGAATAGTTTTTGAAAAAACTATAATAATTTGGATGAAGGGTAATGAATTAGTAATTGTCCAAGGTAATCTGAAAGAGCACATTGCCATTTTAAGTCTTGTGCTAAAAGAGTGTCTAAATTTTGTTGGTCTAAAGGAATATATGTGCGCATTGGGTGGTATCCTGAAAGTTGAATGCAGCGTGTTCTTCCTTTTTGTATAATAT